TTTAGCTGATAAATAACTAGAATTCAACACAATCTTTATGTATATGATCACACCCGCCTTGTGTTTGATTAAATGTTGAAGCGTTTCAATATGCATTTTCTCTTTAAATGAATGTTAGTTTTGAAGTAAATGACAGACTACAAAAAAGAGGGGTTGAATTGTTTTGTTATTTAAAAATCAGTTCTTTATGAAATTGTTATACAAAAGGTAAACTTTTAAGTATTTAAATTTAGAGTATTCTTATGAAAATAGTTTCTAACTTAACTTGTTTTAATAATAAATTATGTAGTAATAGAATAAGATGCATTAAGATAAATGAAACAAGTAAAAAGATAGAGTTAAATAGATTACACACAGATTTTTATACTGGTTCATCCCAATTTGAGCTACATCTAGTCTCCACATAAAATTGTGAAATTTTCACTATTACAACCAACTGCTATTTAAGAACAACTTAGTCACCTACTAATTAATACAAGAACATCACTTCACAGTCACCTGTTATTAGTGATACACACTCAGTCACCTGCTGGGCCTTTCACACTCAACAATCTGTTGAGAAAACCAACCTCACAACTACTTGCTATGAGATTATACAACTACGTGTTGTGATTTCTTTCTACCTTCCTACATCTCTACAAATTCAAATCTAAGTGGGTGTGGAAGAACGCATGTAAAAGATTTTGATGATGAAAAAAAAATTATAGAACACACGACGTAAAGTTAAAGAAAGGTGTTAAAGAAACAAAAATCTCAATGTATTTTAGATAAGTCTTGTTAACCTAGCTTTATATGTAAAAAGAAATCTTTAGAAAAATTGCTTCCTTTGGGTACAAGAAAACACTGGATAACATCTTGGTCAGGAAGCGTAACTATCTAACAATTATCCTCACACTCCCGAGCGAGGTTTCTCACTCCCCCCTTACCTGGATAAGCAGGAGCTGGAACTTGGGTAGAACCTCCTCCTCTAGATTCCCTCTTTTCTTTCCCTCTCTTTCTTTCTCTCTCTCTCTCTCTCTCTCTCTCTCTCTCTAT